AAGCTAAATAGCAAGAGACCAGTATCCTCTGAAAACTGATATTTCCCCAGGTGATGGCTGTCAGCTCTGGTATGGCTGCTAGCATCACCTGAACAAAAATCAGTGCTGAGCTTGGGGGGAATGTGTACAGTATTCTCTTGCTGTCTGCTTCTCTCTGGTCCCATGCCCTCAGGTGTTCACAGATATGTCTGGCTGGCCTCTGCTCCCATCACAAAGTAAAACTGAGATGTGGTTAGGAGGCTCCATGGGAATCAAGTGAAGAGAGTGAGTGTCAAGGCTTGCTTTTGTCTAATGCTCTTTAGACCTAGGAAAAAGAGAACTTTTTTTTTCTTTTTCTTTTTTAAGAAACACAGCAAAATGTACTAGTTAAATGTAATAGGGTGTGGGGTCAAAGCCCGAATTGACTGGGAAAAATTTTAAGTTTTATTCTCCTTGCTATTGTTTCTTGGGCTCATATCTCCCTCATTGTGAGATGTGGCCATGGTCAGGAACAGATTTCAGCAATTCCTCAATTCTCTGAACAAAATATCATCATGCTACCAGCCCAGATTGTCATCTTTGTCTTTGACCCAATTAGCAGCCTTCCTAAGGCCAAGTCACTGTTTCTAACCATCACCATTAAGCCCAAACTCTTAACACACCTGGTTCTTGTCACTCTTAGAAGACCATGCAAACCTCTTATGCTACAGTGAAAATAGAGACTCTTTGATATAAAACCTCACAGCTACTACTTCTCTCCATAGTCACTTCCTTGTATAGCATCTTAGAAAAAGAAGTGGCCCTACACTTGTCCAAGGCTACTAGCCCTTCCAAATCTGTGTCCTTTCTGACTTCTTCAAGTTTTTGATCCCTAAATTATTTTTCCTGTAATTTAGACCACCCTTATTTACTCTCTGACTATGAACTTACTTAGGTTTCTCCCTTTTAACTATAATAAGAATAGCCTACATTTCTAAGTTAATATGGCAGCAAATGAAACATGCTTCCCAATTTTAAATGGGCAATTTTAAATGGGCATTAGTGTCATAAACTATAGATAAGAACAGGCTATATGCCAAAATTTAGGCAGAATGGTAACTTCTGTGAAATTGAAAGGGATGGATTAAGATGCTCTCAAAAGTTTCACTTGACCAGAGAAATATGTTCCCATCCACCTACTGTGAGGAACCATATTTTGAGTCATTAGAATCGAGTTTGAACCTCTGTCTGCTCCTCAGCCCCTATATTTCTACCCTCGTCATAGAGTGTGAAGACTCATAAGTACATCAGGCCACTGAAAATTCATTTCCAAAAAACTGGGTTAAAATTTTTAGAAGAACCCTATTTTCAGTCTCTAAAAAGATGCAAAATTGTCCTCATGAATAAAGATGGAAAATTGAAGAGAGAGATGTATCTTCTCTCATTTCCAAGACTCTTCAAAATTCAGAATAAATGGATCTTTAAATGTATAAACCCACTACAAGCAGTGTGGGAGAAAGATCATCAGTAGCATATCTAAAATCTACTTTGGCCCTGCAGTGTGGCTCGATGGTTGAGCGTCGACCCATGCATGAAAGGTTGCTGGTTCAACATGGGCAAGGCACATGCCCAAGTTGCCGCTCTGTCCCCAGTACGGGGCATTCAGGAGGCAGCAGATCGATGTTTCTCTCTCATTGATGTTTTTATCTCTCTTCCCTTCTTTCTCAAAATCAATAAAAACATTTTTAAAATTAATAAAATAAATGTATTCCTTTAAAAAAAACTACTTCGGAAGCAATAGGACAGATTCTGAGGAAAATCAAATCGCAGTCTAAAAGCACATTGAGTAATTCTTCAGAATTCAGGAGAAGAGAATGAATAATTGAAAATAATAAAAGGTAACTAAAGAAACAAAATCTGTTTTCTAACTTGAACATCAAGACAACAATAAAACAAAATCACTAGCTTATTCCCTGGATGAAAAAAAAGTACCCAAAAAAAGTATATAGTGAAGTGTCTGGGGGAGAAAAACAGTTTCTTAATCAATGCTTAATTAAATTTTGTTTAGAGAGATATTGAGCTCCATAGAGAACCAAAAGGAAGGTCAAGTTCCAATGCTGGTTCTGGGTTTCTCAACCTTGGCACTATTGACAATTGGTCCTGATAATTTTGTTTGGGGACTCTGGGGGATGCTGTCCTGTGTGTTGTAAGACATTCAGCAGCGTCCCTGGCCTCTACCCAGTAGATGCCAGTAGCACACTTCTCTCCTACTCATCTCAAATGTCTCCAGATATTGCTAATTGTCCCCTGGTTAAGAACCACTGTTTATGGTAGCTCTGGTCCATCACCTCTCTACTCTTGGCTTCAGTTACCAGCTCTGTAAAGCAAGAGCATCTCAAAGAGCTTTTATTGATTGGGACGTGATAATCTACCCATTTCCAGGCTAGTTGTAAATCCTCCCTCAACCAGCCTCATCTATGAGGAAGCCTGCAGCCCCTCCCTGCATCATAGTCTAGGCAGGGTCCCTGCTCTGGAGAGGCATTGTGGCGCTGAGTGTTTCTGCCCCGGATCTCCTGGTGAGTTTCAGACTGAATTCTAATTTGGTAAATTCTGAAGTCTTGCTCTCAGCTCCTCATTTCCAAGTGCAGGCCCAACACTCTCAAAGGACTTCTGGCACATTCCCAGCAGAACTGCAATGTAACACAGAGCAGGCCTGGCATATTTTAAGTATTGGGAATTTGAGTAGTTTCTTCTCTGTCCTGTGCCCACCCCAGAGCCATATCCAGATACCCAAATGTCCTCTAAGAGGTTCTAGGAACTGAACTGGGGTCTCCAGAGCTCACCACAGAGCTTTAGGGGTTTGAAAGGGAGAGCAGAAAAAGGACAAGAGGACTTGCCTGAGAACCCCTTGGCTTAGAGCCTCCATATCTAGTTCTGAGTCCCCTTCTGTCCTTTGCCCCATGGCTGTTATCACCAAAACGCTTTTTCCACACACATTCTGGGGCCTCATGTTCAGACAAAATTGTGCTCCAGCTCCCAAAGTCTGTAGACCAAAGGGAGTTTCCTATAGACCTGAGCCTAACACCGTCCTCCCTCCTCCCTCATCTGCTCTCCTGGAACTCTGTGAACACCCCACCCCCACCCCCCAGTCTGTTCCAACCCTCCCCAGCCCACCTGTCTTATTCGCGGAGACCCACATCCTTCTGTAAACGTGTCTGCAGCTCTGCCCACAAGGACCAGCGTCCCCAGGCTGAACTTCAGGACTGAGGGAGCTGAGGGCTCAGCATTGCTGACAAAGCTCAAAGCTCAGCACCACTCTGTTTCTAGGACTGGAGAAATAGTTTGCAGGTAAATTTGGGAGAGAATTGGTAGGTTCTGAGCCCTGTTAAGATTTTAATTGGTGGAGCAATATCAGTAGCTGGGAGAGGGAGGAAAGCTCAGTTTGAGGGGATTTTCAAATATGTAAATAGATTTTTTTAAATCCACTATGATTTTGGTAAGAATTTTTCCAAGCATCTCTATTCTTTTGGAGAAAAAGTTCAGGATTCCATTGGTGGCAGAATCCATCTCAGTGAAGGTATGAGTGTAGGATGTCCACTGAGGACAGTGCTGGACTGGCTCACTGCTCCCATCTCACCTCACCTGGCCTGGTAGGTCCTAGATTCTTCTAGTCGAAGTGTGGACCATGTGAAGCAGAACTGGCATCACCAGGTATGCAGAATCTCAGGCCACACCCCCAGTTTAGCAAATCAAATCTGAACTTTAATTATATCCCCAGGTCATTGGTGTGCACATTGGAGTTGGAGAAGGCAGTGTAAAGCCCCAGGCAGCCCCACCACCTCTGCCCCTTAGCCCTGTGCCACCCCAGCTTCCCCCTGCCCCAGCCTGAGCACTCACCTGGCAGCTTTGAGCAAAAGCACCAACAACTGGTGACAGAAACAGCCTCAGGCTGAAGTCCACAGGGTCCCAGTTCTCCCCCAGGCCCTGCCTCCTGCCACCGCCCACTTCTTCCCCTCCCGCTTCCATTCCTGGCAGCCTAAGTGAAGGATAAAAGAATTGCAGCTGGAGGAGCAGGCTGCCCTGCTGTTAAAGAATGGGCTGCAGAGAATAACCCTCTGTTGTTGAGAGCGAGGGTATGTGTCCTAAGTGAACTGACACAGGAATTTTCAGATTATCAGAAAGAGAGCATTGACTTCAGTATGTTTCCAACATGCAGGCTTGCCGGCAACAGCAGACAGAATTTCCTTATTTATCTCAGGATGTCTTCTCCTCTTGGCTGGGAGAAATAGCACAGGCTTCCCCCCCATAGCATAAGGGGTATCTGCTCCATGTTCCTCAGCAACCCCAGGAGCCCAGCTCCTCTCCACCAGGCCCAGTTTTTATCAAGAAAAGGTGTTGAATTTTGTCAAATGCTTTTTCTGCATCGGTTGATATGACTATGTGATTTTTATCTCTCAATTTGTTTATGTGATGTATCATGTTTATTGACTTGCGGATATCGTACCATCCTTGCATCCCTGGGATAAATCCTACTTGGTCATGGTGTATGATCTTTCTGATGTACTGCTGGATCCGATTTGCTAAGATTTTGTTGAGGATTTTGGCATCTATGTTCATGAGGGATATTGGCCTGTAATTCTCTTTCATTGTGTTGTCTTTACCTGGTGTTGGTATTAGGGTGATGCTGGCTCCATAGAATGAGCTTGGAAATGTTCCTTCCTCTTGAATTTTTTGTGGTAGTCTGAGGAGGATAGGTTTTAGTTCTTCCTTGAATGTTTGGTAAAAATCCCCTGTGAAGCCGTCTGGTCCTGGGCTTTTGTTTGATGGAAACTTTTTGATGACTGCTTCAATTTCTTCCATCGTTATTGGCCTGTTGAGATTTTTAGAATCCTCTGGATTGAGTTTTGGAAGATTGTATTTTTCTAGGAATATGTCCATTTCCTCCAGGTTGTCTACTTTGTTAGAGTAGAGTTGTTCATAGTATTTTCTCACAATTCTTTGAATTTCTGAGGG